CATTCGGAGCCACGGCAATTTGTACGTCCGCGATCTTTTTTTGCGGGACGAAACAAAAAGGAATTAATTCGAGGCTTTAAAATCCCGTGGACCGTCCCTTTCCCACGCCTCTTGGCCGGGCCATGACCTCGGCACGCGAACTCTCCTGCCTCGAAATCCGAATTGCCTCTCCTTATACTTGTTTTATCGAGCGGTTATCGGAGATGCGACGCAAATAACCGATATCAATTTTTTAATGTCTCGTTTCCATTATGTCAACGGTTAGTCTCGAACCGTGTGCTTCAATGCGGAATAATCCGTGAAATTTTTGGATAGATCCTATTGGTATCTAAGTTTCCGAGGAACTTAAACAATGTTTATTCATAAGTCTATTAATTTCATAATATTCTATTAATTTAATATTTTTATGCTATTTTTCATCTTCAACGCTCAACAAGCGGTTCTTCGATGTTCTGAAATTTTCATGTTTGAAATCGTTCTGTTCGTTTCACACCGTTTATTGGAGAGCATAAGTAGACTATAATAGTAATTATAATTGAAACGAGTTTGTTTGGGAAAGCTTAGAAAATAATGAAGTACGAACAGTGCGTAACGATTACCATTAAATTAGAAGTTCCGCTGTTAAAGTCACTTATCAAGTTGAAAGTTTGCAGTTCCGGTTAAGCGATAAAAATCGAATACGTGTTGCACGGTGTAATCAGACCTTTAATTCAATCGGTAATTAGATTCTATTAGACGCGAGCGCCTATAAACGGGTCATTTGATTCACGATCTCCTATAATTTGCAGAAAACACGGCGATAAATCAGTTCCATTTCACCCGCTGATTCCCTTAACGAAAATCCACCGCGAGGATTACTCATTACACTTAATTATCTTCATGGTGATTTTATTCCATACGACATAAACTGTAGAACATTGCAAATACAAATTCCTACGGGCGAATTCAAAGCGGGTGAAACCTCTTCCTCTGCGACGATCTCATTGTCTGCAATTTGCATTTAATATTTCTCGAAAGATTCTCATACTCATTGCATAAGATCCCCACCAATTACACACCAGGAGAATAACGAGAAACAAGTTTCTCGACCCGATTAACATCCGTATTAAACGAACATTGAATTACATTAACTTCTCCTGTTAATAATTTCAAAGAGCCTCGCGGGCTGTCGGCGTACAAGTTTCCCCGGTTCAATTATCAATTAAATCAAAGAATAAACAAAAACAGCAACAGGTTTTCTTCGTGCTCGGTCCTCTCTCTATTCCCGATCACCGCGAACCCCGTTGGACCCGACCGCTCGTTCGTCCCGATCGTATCGGTTGCGCGCGCGCGCTATCCGACGTATAAATTAGCACGATCGACGCGAAGACAATCGCGTGGGGGTTACGGGGAAGAAAATGATGAAGAACCGCGGTCGCGACAAGTGAACGTCTCTCCTTTCACTTCTTTATATTCCGAGGGCCGCCGATCTTTGGCGGACCAGCTAGTTATGAAATAAAACGCCGGGGTAAACGGACGGACGGCCGGCTCGCGCATCGGGCACACACACCGGTGGCGCAATAACTCCGGCCGACTTTTACGCCCCGAGTCCCTTGATTTACAGCGGCTCCGCGACCTGCCTTAATAGAAGAACTGCCAGCCAACGAGAACGCGCGACCGCGCTTCTTAACAGCCCGTGAATCTCTTCCCCCCGCGCCGCGACCGGTGGTACCGACGGCGAATATCTTACCGGCGGCAAGCGAAATTCCCCGGTCGGAATCGCCTTCCGCGTCGTCCGACGGATTCAACGGTGTTTATTCGAATGCCGGGCGTATTTTTCCGGAAAAACATTACACTCGAGGCGAGCAATTTACGTTTCATCACCCGTGGACCGTAATCCGTTGCGGTCTCGGGGCGAAACAGGTTTGTCCGCTTTCCACGGTGACCGAATCTTCCCCGCGATTGTCTCGAGTCACCTGGTATACGGGTCCGTGGGCGTGGCGAACGCTAGCCCCGCCCACCGCGACGAATTACGCGCACCTGTTCGTCCCCCACCTCTCTGCCCGACGCATGCGCGTCGGAGGCTTCCGAACCGCTCTGATACCAGTCGGATCTACTTGATTTTTCAAATCAGGCTTTACGAGTCGCGAGCACCTTTTTCTCCCGGTATCCCTTAATTAATCCTCGCGAGGGATACCGGGGCGCAACACGCACGACGTTAACCCGCTGATATTGTTCGATTCCCCGGGCAATAACGTTGAATCTCCTCGCATCCTCGGATTTATAGGCGGGGCCAGAGATTAACCGCCCACGGCGACGAATCGGGAGCAACTAATCCCCGCTGCTCTAAACCGCAGCGTGCGCGCTCGAAGCTTCTAGACGACCCAGATGATCCGAAGATAGTAGCCGGCGGTGGAGGAATCAGGAACTGATCCCATTCAAGGGCGAAGGTCCGATTGATAGCGGCTAACGACGGACCGAGCGAACCGACCGGCGATGCAACCCCTCGTAAAACTCAATTCTCCGGTTGGCCGTAATGAATCCCGAGGAAGTGTGCGCAGAAAGTGGGTCCGGCGCGTAGGCTATGTATAGCATTACGCGGCGGGTAGTACCGTTTCTAATGCGGGTACAGGAGCGTCGCCGCGGCGGCGGCGTCTCTCGGGATCCCGTGGAACGGTGACCGTCGGGCCCCTCGCGCGAGCGCGTTCGCGCTAACAGCCGAGGCAACGACCGAGGGCCAGCTCCTAGCTGATCCTGGGTCCATTAACGAAGCCATTTCAACCCGGGATAGGCCGGCCAGCTATTAATGTTCACGGTTCTGACTATCGGGGCTTCGGCGTTTCGTAGGAATGCCACTTTTCTCTTCGTTCCTCGGCCGCCTCCCCGCCGCCGACGCGTTCCGGCCCCGTGTCCCCGCGCGACGACCGTCCCTGCTCCTCGTGTCTTCGTCTATCGGCGTATAATAACTCCATTACCGGGCCCGTGATGTCGGGGGACCGCGCGTGCTCGCGTGTGCGTGCCGTCTTTTAATGTCTCATTTCCATCTTTGCGCTGTCTCCCCGCGGACGCCGCCGGCGATCATCCCTCAGCGGCCGCGAAAGTGTCTCAGCTTATCGACGCTTCGTGTAATCTCTGCCGCACCTGATGGGCCCCCGGTATTACGTGCAGTCCGGGGCACTCCTCTCTTTTCGTTGTTCCGTTCGGCTTTTTGCTTTTGTCCAGCTCCCGTGTACCTCGAGAGACAGAGACGTCCGAGAGGTCCGCGTCCGCTCCATTATCTGGCACCGAGTGTCCCACGGATGGCCAGCTGAGCTAGCGAGGGGATCGGATAAAAAGAGGATGTCCCGCTTAAATGCCGTTGCCTCGATGGGCACCGGCAATCTCGAGATTACTTCTGTGTCTGTAATTCCCAGGTGTTGGGTTAAGTGAATTTGTCGTGCTACCCAAGATGGTGCTGGCAGTCATCATCAGCTCGCTCTCCGTCTTTTTCGCTCCGGCGACTTTTATCGAGCGTTAATATCGCGTAAGGGGAGAATCGTTGGCTTCCAACTTTACAACGTCCCGAGGACACTCATCATTGTCCCCTATCAATCATCATCGCTCTCCGGCCCCTCCCCAGGCGCATTATCTTTCACCAGTCACACCTCTAGTCAGCGATCCTCTAATCCGTAATCAGCCAGCCGCAGCGTTTCCTCGGGCCAGCGACGGCTCGCGCACAGGAGTATCCGCAGCCGGACCAGGAAACAGCATTCCTCGAGCACGAAGCAGCAGAAGAAGAAGAAGGAGGAGAAGAAGAAGAAGAAGAAGAAGACGACGAAGAAGAACGGGACGAAGAAGAATAAGGAAGACACGAGCCGCGGCCACGTCAAATCAGTCAAGCGCAGAGTTCCCGCCGGTCGTTTAGATTCATGAGGATGGTGCACGTCGTCTTTGGCGCTGCTGGCCGGTGGGATGCCTTATGCAGATTCCTCTTCATTCGTATTAATAACCGGCGTAGTCTGGCCCGGCCGGCCGGGCCGCGAAGCCAAGGTCGCCGGGGTTAAGGCGTGTTCAACAAGCTGTTCATAGCTACTACCCAAAGAGCCCACGGACTCCTCTCTTTCAGCCGCAAACCCGGAAGTGCCGGGCATCCGACGCTGTGTAACTCGAGTCCGTCGGTGGGCTTTTCTAGCCGGATCCCCGGCTATTCCCGGTCCCCCGTCGTTGACCTTTCCCGATGGAAGAGGCTGCGCGCGGAAACGGCCGAGTTCCATCGCTCACGCGGAGAACCATCGGGGATCGGCCGGTCGAAAGAAATTATTGAAAAACCGGACCGTCGCCGGGCGGCTCAAAGAACCGGCTGCCATTTAGGGGTATCGTCATCGTCCGGGGTCGCGGTGTCGTCATCGCTCGCCGCCGTAAACGGAGCGCAGACACGCTGCCGCGCGCGACCGGGCCCGTTTCTATTTATTATAAGTCGGGAAACTCGACAATCGGTAGCCGGCCCCGACCGTAAATCACGGCGGATCGTCTCCTGCCGCGCCTCCACGCTAAGGACCACGCCGCCGCAGCCAACTTACGAGAGGGGTGCGCGCAGGAGGCAGTGATATATCGTACGAGCCCCCCCATTGTCTTTGACTAGGTCCACGGCGACGGGCCACCGAGACACCGGGCTCTCCTTCGTATTAATTACCGACGAAACCGACCACGGCCCAGATAAGATTCAGGGATCGCCGGGTTTTTCTCACGGATCGGACAGAGAAACCCTTCCGAAGGTCGCATAAGTATAATTAAGAAGTCCCAAGGCAGTTCGACGAACAGAACACTCGCTTTCAGACCTGCGTCCCAGAAACCAGCTATATCCTCCCTTGTTTCATCTTAGCTCGGTCCGCGCGAAATTCTCCGATGCACGAGAACCGACTAACTCGTTCGAGCGAAACTATTAATAATTCTTCAATGATAAGACCGTCTCTCGATCGGCCGCTGCAACTGCCGGTAGAACAAATACAAAAGGAGGAGGAAAGTAGAAAACCATCGCTCACCGTTCGGAGCCTGTCTGCAGAGTCTGGCGAACATCCTCCTCTAGTTCGTCGCTGAACGTCTGCCTGCGAACAGATCAGCGCGGGTCAGACCGCCATTACATTTTTCACGGCGCCGCCGGAGTTAATTGAAACTTAATATAAGTGAAAAGCAAAAAGGGAAAAAGCGCGGGGCCGAGTGCGCGCACGCGGGCGCGGGCGCGAGGGAAAGAAAGAGGATGGACCGTGGGGGACGACGCGAGGAGAGGAGAGAGCTCGTTAACGGGAGCCCGATCGGTAACACGCCATTACGATGCCGCAATAAATTACAATTCCTAATGCCCGGCTTGTTTATAATATGGCGGCCAGTTATCCCCGGGTCGCCCGATAATTACGCGGTCGGATATCAAAATTCAGCCCCGGACATAGCTGCCTCCTGTGAGGAGCCATCTTTGAGGGATCCTCGCTCGCTCGCTCGCTCGCGCGGCTCACGCTCGAGGCGCAACGCGCCGAGTGTCGGCCGGGATATTTCCTTAACACTAATGGCTACCAGTCGTCCCGCTAATAATTACAAGCTCCCCTTGACTAATAGGTAACGACAGGTGATCCTCCTTCCCCCCTCGACCGTTCTCGCTGCAGCGCGCGCCAGTTGGCTGTCCCGGGACCCGGCCGACACCGTCCCGCGCCTCCTGCTCGCTGAAACGGCTCCGGGGCCTGTCAGCGACGATCACCGATTCGAAATTGCCCCCGCGAAATCACAAGCTCTCCCGCGCGCGAGACCACGAACGACTCCGCCGCTTTACAGTCTTGTTTTACAAGGGGGACGAGCGCGCGAGCGCGGCCCGCAAGAAACTCGCCACGGGAAAATCGGTTCTTGTCCCCCACGGTGAACATCGCGACAACGATCAAGCGGATTTTTCTGTTTTTCTGCTACGGAGAGACTTGGAGGGATTGCGTGCTTCGCGAACGAGATGATTTATGGGGATTTTCGAGGAGGGTTTGCCGTGTGAAACTATTTTCGACGTGGATTTAACTGCCTGCGTATATACCTCTGTTGGATACGATTGGACATCGAGTTTGTAGTTATCGATGGTTTTCGTTGTAACATGGGAAATATTTCGATGCAGTTCCGAACTTTCCCTCTGTAATTTGTGGAAAATCCGAAGAGATCCGAGCGAATGGGGTTAACACGAACGGTTTCCATCGCGACTGCGGTACGCGCGAAAGAATTCGAGATAGAAAAGTGCGAGAGGTTGGAACGTGGCGAGTAATTATTTCTGGTAATCTAACACGACGCGGATATGAATATTACTCCGTTTAAGAGCAATTAATCGGGGAAAAAATTGGAAAGGATATAGGGGAGGAGTTATTGGAACAATGAAACGTCAGGAAAAGGGGGTAACTCGATTCTTAATGAGTTTCGCCTGCTAGAATTATAAAACGATACATTAAGTGCCTCCTCCTACTTCTTTTAGCCAGCGGGGCAGGAGGCGAACGAAACTAGGAAAGAAATGGCGGAGCCGCCATCTTCCTCCGCGGGCTTTTTTCCTCGGGTCTAATTCAAATCTCTAGCTTTCTTTCCATTCGGAGAAGCGGGATCGTAAAACCTCTTCATTACTCCGAATGGAACCGGATCCTCTTTATCATTTATCTGCGGCCATTTTTCATCCCGGGTAATCCTATCGTTCATTTCCATTGTGCGCGACTCAGCGGTACAAGTTTTCCGGTCTCATTAGGCCGCTAAACAGATAGCGGGACACGCGTTCGTTCTTGTAACTGTGCACGATACAGTATTTTACGGGCCGGATCCGTACGCTTCATTAGCGAACGATAAGCCGAGATTATCGGCCCCCGATCCGTCACCGAAGCGTGTCTATCTCGGCGATAAATCTATGTCGAGCGTGTGGTGGCCCGGGACGAAACAGATTCGACGACGATTTGTCTGAGCCCGGAATTCTGGACGAATGCGAGTCGGGGACCGGTCATCTGAAATTCTGATCGGAACAAGCCCGCGTCGGCCGGTTATCCGTCAGCATTACCGTTTCTTTTCTATTCTCTCCGCGGCCGCCCAACGCGTTTCCGTCGCCAGGGATCGGAAACACGCCAGGAATGCACACTATCGCCGCTGCTTCTGCCTCGCGCGATCGGTATCGAGTCGCGAACGGAATACTACTTGCGTTTAACGATGTTCCACGCTGCTCGTTCTCGATTTAAGATCCTCCCGGTAAGACACTTGTAATTCTGAATTTGTGGGGACCTTTCACGAAAAATTAGGATACTTCAAACTTCAACGCTATCTGCTGTTCAACAGCTCTTTAACCCTTTGAACTCTGTATAAATATTTTAATAAATCTTAAAGAAACTAGCCTAAAATTATCCGATTTTCCACACATCCGAATTTTGTAGAAGGAAAATAAAAGAAGAAATGTTATAGCATTTCTCATTTTCGCTAGGGATACTATAAAAGTTAGTTGCAGTTGCTGATAGATTACAGAACCATCTGAGTGCTAGATATTGTTCCTAAATACTCCAGTAGCAATGACAATTACAATCCCGATCAACTCTCCTAAGGAACACAACGCGGCAATGTCGTGAAAAATTGCGCAACTCCATTAATCTTCCACTCGTTGCGCCGCAGACATCAAGTAGCCTCGCTACATACGTTTTCCAAATACAGTTAGCTCCAGCCGCTCGGAACACACCGTATAAATAGCAGCGAACGGAGCGATGTCTCCGAAACGACATGGAAACTACACCGGCGCGTCGAAGAGCTCGCCGAGAGCTCGGTAGCCGTCGAAAGCCGCAAAACCCGGATCCAAGTTTGATGGTGCCCGGGGGACTATGATTACGGGTAGCTTGTAGGAGATAAGACGGTCACCGGCGCGGAGGCAAAAAGCCAAGTTAATTCCGTGTCCGCGGACACCGCGGAATTACCATTTACAATGGTTATTACCATACGACACGGGGTAGATAGAGATGAGAAAGTTGTCCGGGGCTTTACATAATTGCGCAACGCACTGGATACGCGCACGAACGAAAGGGAAACACGGCGCCCGCCGGCAGCCGGTACCATTTGTTCCCATGTTGTAGCGCATAAATGCGCAAAAATGATTTACATCGTTCCCGATCTACACAGCTCGCCGAGAGTAAGCCCGAGTGGCCCCGGTGTATCGCGTAGGAAAGGTTAGTCGATTCCCCGAGCAGAATTCGCGGTTTTTACAGCGGCGAACGCGCGCGACCGGGGCCCGGGGACCATCCGAGACGGGCCCGCGAGGGTTTTATTGTCCCGACGACCGCGATACCCGCTAACGTCCCGCGCGGATACACTGAACTCACAGCGGCCGCGAGTGTACCGCTCGCCGATAAACGTCCGTGTAATTGTTACTTATCGATGGACCATCGATTTTATAGCTTGATTTGCAACTGCGTGCCCGTCCCGACTGGCAGCGGCCGTCACCGTGTTTATATGTCCCCTTGTTTAAGAATTTATTCGCGCCGCGAAGCGGGCAGTTAAAACGCGCACGGGACTTTTCGGCGGGATCCCTTCGGCCGGAGCACAATGGACGTTCGCCGGAACGGTCGTTTGTTACTCGAGGATTGGAAGTCTCTATGAGACTCGATACCCACGGTGACTCACGGCGAAATGAGGGGAAACGTGTTACGGGAGATTTTCAGAAATCTACACAGCAAATCTGGAATTATTAGATGCACTCGTTACGTGGGAAGCTCGTCCGAGGAACAAATTTCCCACTGGCGATACGAGAAACAGGCTTCCATTATACTTTCAAATCCAAGAATAAAACTAGCTGGAACTCTCCGTTCGTATGTTCAAGGACTTCCGAAACTCCGAGAGCCGACCGTCGGAATATATCGCTCCGCCGAGGGGCAACGAATCGAAGAACCGCGGATTTATCGAACCCGATCGCTGCCACGATCCACGGAGCACTCGCTGAAAGGATCGGGCGAAAGAGAAGGAGAAGAGAGAGGGAGAGGGAAGGAGAGAGGAGGAGAGTTTCACGCCCTCGTTATTCAAAACACCGCGAACCCGGTGTGTACCGGTGTTCAACCCACGCGCTCGCGTATCCGGGGCCCGCCGGCCCCGGCGTGTTTTGTCCGGCATAATTACCTCGGATACAGCCATTAATTAGTATCGCTAATTATGTGGAACAGCGGCGCAGGGGATACAGCGGCCGTGGTCCGCGGGACTCGGTTTATCCTATTTGTCGCGCATAAATAACAGATTAATGCCGCGATATGGTTGCTCATGCAAATGCGGGTTCAAAGTTTATAGCATCTAATTAACCATATTACCGGCCCTCGAACTTAATAAGGCCCTTAATAAGGACCGGTTTTTCCGCCGTTTCGATTGACCGCGGCGAAGTGTGCGCCGAACGGTCCTCGTCGTCGTCGGCGCGACGCCGTAAGCGACAACGTCGACAACCGCGAGCCGTCGGACGACGGATTTTCTAATATTCATCGGCGATACACGGCCAATTACGCGGCCCTTCTCCGTGCCCCCCGCGCCACGTAATAACGTATCGTAACGTATTGCAGCCACGACGGTCAAGGTGTAATAAATTATTCAGCACGCTCGGGCAATAAGCGGCGCGCTCGCTCGCAACACGCTCTCTCGCCGTTTCGCCATTCATTGATTCGCCGCAATCGAGCCGTGGCAACGAGTCCTATAGAGGATCCGCGGATCGAGCTAGCTCGCACGCTCGCTCGCTCGTTCGCCTTCTATACCCCCTACAATGACTCCTATTCGATCCGATCGAGGGACCTGAATGCAACCGATCCCTCCCCGAGCTTTTCACTGTGCCGTTCCCTTCCTGGTCCGCCTTGTAATGGACGATACTCGAACGCTATTAGCACGCCCTTAAGCCGATGGATACTACGAGGATATCCCCCATAATCGTTTCACGACAGCATTTCAAGTGTTTAGTCCTTTCTGCTGTGACTCCTTTGGAATAGGAAATTCGTGTTTCTCATTTTTCGTGTGCGGTCGATAAGAGACACGGCGGAATGATCTCCGTGGAAATGTTTCTGTTGCGACGAACATTTGGAAGACTACAGTCGTATCTACGCTA